TAAACAATGTACAACCAGCTCCCAGCACTTTTCAGAATAGTAGGAATAATAGCTACATGTGTTTAAAAATTCAGAATTTATAGTGAAGCGGATATCGTTGAACTTTTGATATTTTCGAGGGGCTGGACCCCTCATTCTAGCACGTTACTGTACAAATGTGCTCCCTACGACTATATCTAAAGTCTACACATTACCAATCTAGTTTGACAATAAAATGTGGATTAATATATTTCAGAATATGTCTCTCTTTTTGTCTGACTACGCATGTTTCGTATTTATTTTTATTTTTACAAGCTACGATAAAAGCTTGATCCACGCCTCAAATAGAGAAACTGCGTGTCAAACTAAGAAATGACGTCATCTCAGTAAGTACAGCGAGATCAAGCTGGCTTTCATTCTGCATACGCTAAGTGGTATTATGGCAAGATAAGTTGCACATCCATGTATCTTTATAACATTTATGAGAAACCAAAGTATTTAGTGTGTTTTAAAAAGAACATATAGTATTTATTCATCGAGATTCATTTGTATTGTTTTTAACGTGACGTCATAATAGCCCTCCCGAACCTCTGCATAGACTGACGTATTTATGGGAGTCCTTAACCTAGCTGCGTAGTTTGACAATAATCTAAGCATATCTAAGCCTTTTTCATTAATCCAACATGGACCATGACCAGTTTCCACTTTTCAAGTGGTGAATATCAAATCATTAATTTAGTTTAAGGAGAATTCTTGCATGTTGTCAGATGACACGTGCGAGTGTACACAGACACCATTTTAAGCTCAACCTTTACTGATGTGAACCCAAATTTTACTGTTTGTATGCCCCCTATCGCAGATTCGGGGGTATATAGTTTTTGCCGCATCCGTCCGTCTGTCTGTCCGTCTGTCTATTTGTCTGTTTGTCCACATAAACTTTAACCTTGCCCATAACTTATGATTGGTTGGAGCTATGGCATTCATATTACAATTGTGTATTCATTGTGACAAGACCTTTTTTTGGGTACCACCAATTTGACCTTTTGACCTTGACCTTGTTGACCCGATTTTGCAAAATTTAACCGAACATTAACCTTAGCCATAACTTTTGAACAATTGGAACTAGGGCTTTCATACTTCACATGTGTAATCCTTGTGACAAGTCCTTTATTTAGATACCAACAACTTTGACCTTTTGACATTGACCTAGGAGTTTGACCTATTTTAAAAAAAACTTTTACCCTGACCATAACTTTTCAACAGTTAGTGCTAGGGCTTTTATACTTCACTTACGTAATTCATGTGACAAGACCTTTCTTTGGATACCAACATTTTTGACCCTTTGACCTTGACCTTGCAGATTGACCTACTTTTGGAAAACTTTAACCTTTGCCATAACATTTCAATGGTTGGTGGTAGGGCTTTCCTACTTCACATATGTAAACCTTGTGACAAGACCTTCCTTTGGATACCAACAATTGTAATCCATTGACCTTGCATTTGGAGTTTGACCTATTTTTGAAAAACTTTAATCTTGGTCATAACTTTTGAAAGATTGGTGCTTCGGCTTTCATATTTCTCTTGTGTATTTCTTGGGAGAAGACCTTTCCTTGGGCACCATTAATCTTGACCATTTGACCTTGACCTTGATGTTTGACATACTTTTGAAAAAACATTAACTTTTTCCATATCTTTTTTATGTTTGCTGCTAGGGCTTTCAAATTTCCTTGAGACAAACCTTACTTTGGGTACCAACATATTTGATTTGCATTTGAGAAAGTTTAACCTTTGCTATAAGTTGCCAAACGGGGGCATCAGTGTTTCACAGACACATCTTGTTTTTAAATTGATTCTCTATATTTATATAATGATTGGGTTATGTGAAGTGGTCACCAATCCAAAGGTCGACTTAGCTTGACTTGACTGGGATTGAGGTAGATTATACAACAACACCAGAAAAGATAGTTTTTGTCTGTGTGTTTGTCTGTCAGGACTTGTTTTTTAGCCATAACTCTCCAATCTTTGATAGGAATGAATTTGAAATGAAGTCAAATTGTAATATGTTGATGATTATGCTATACATTTATACATGTAGTTGTGTAGTGTCATTGATATTGACCCAACATCATATTTCAGACAAAGGTCAAGGTCATTGAGATAAGAAAATTTATATTTACTATAACACTTAAAACCTTGAAGCCTTGACTGAAATTGCTTTAAACTTCAATAAATTGTTTCATGATCACATGTCATATATCAAGTCAAGTACATCTGCTGTTGCTATGAAAATAGTGATATTTAATTTTTTCCTTTTTTGGAAATTTTACTACATCGATTCATCTTTGATTATGAGAATTAAGGTTATATACGATATATAGCATCAATGATGAAAATTCAATATTCATAAATGTTCTTAGTTTTTGATTTAGTTACAGAAAAAAAGTGTGATGGTGAAATCAATCAGATTTTCGAGATAGTGGTAAGATACTCTTGTTATACTTTCCTAATTAAAATGAATGAACAGACACATACACACGCATTCATACACACACATATGAGAGGAGAATGCATTTCATACAACATTATCTAATTGGGTGTAAGAAGGCACACAGAAAACAAAATCTTATGGACAGGGAGTAATATAAATTCCTAAGGGATTTTTATTCTCAATATTACCAATATGAGAAGTAAAATAATACATATTAAAAAATCCTTAGGATTAATTTTAAAATTCCTATGGGAATTTTTATCCTAAGGGGAATTATTCTCCTAAGGAAGAAAAAAATTCCATTATGAGGATTTTTTTCCTCTAGGACTTTTTCCATCTTACGGGATTTTTCTTTCTCCTATGGGAAGGTAAATCCCCCTAGGAAATAAAATTCTCCCTTGGTAAATTAATTTCCTGCAGGAATTCTGAAATATTCTGTAGGAAATGATCGAATCCCTAGGATCTTGATAATATCCCTAAGGAATTTTAATTTTCCTACAGGAACTTTATTTTTCCCATAGTAATTTTCTCACCTGACTTGTGAGATTTACCTGTAATAAAGGCAGTTTTTAACTCTGTAAGTGATGGTCTACCTCATGGTATATATGGATTTTATGTAAACTAAGAGTTTTGTGGGCGCCGATTTGCCACTTTGGAAGTGGCAGACTTATCCGGCACCGTGTTTATTTATTTATTTATATAAAGAAGGATTATAATTTAATAAACTGCTAATCAATCAAAATGTCAAAGTAAATGTCAAAACATGCACACGGTATGACAAAAATAGATTTCTAATTAGCATTGATGGTAATTAATAACTTTTATTACTTTCTATGTGATGAAAGTGTTCTTGTTTACAAAGATGTGATACACAATTTCCTGATATGCTTATATGAAAGGTATCGCCTCAGAATTAAAAAAGAAAGAATGATTTTAATAACAAAATGTGTCTCAAAAACTGAGCACTCAAAAAGGGCATATTACCGTGTATCAAAAATTAAAACGTTCTGGGAATACATTTAAGCTATGTACATGTATCTTAAATATACGTGTAAGTTTTTATTTATTAAATATACTTTCACTACCAAAAGAAAATTTCTATTATTTTAGTACTAATAAAAAAAATTAAAAGGTATAAGTACACAAAGATGTAAGATAATTTAAATAAATTTTCTTAGTTATTAAAGTTCACAGATCAGTTTGCTATTTCATCACAGTAGGCAATTTAAGGAGACTTGTCCCCATGTCTAGAAGCTATTCCTAAGATATAATTGTCGCTCAGTGCATCCAAGCTTTTGATCAGTAGAGTTTTAAACAAGAATATCATGGACAACAATGCTCAAATGTAGCACCCCTGCCCTGGGTACATGTTTCTTTAGAAGATTTTAAGTTTTTACCTTATTATTTTCATGGCCTCTTTTGACCCCATATTATGACAATACTCAATACCAAAGGGATAACTATTTATTCAAACTTGATTCCACACATCGGAATTCTCTATTATTAATATGAGTAACATGACTCTGCTGTTCTCGAAAAGAAAATCTTTAAACATTGAGTTTTGTTCGAAATTTGACTCCTGATTTCCTTGTTTTAGCACCATCCTAAATAAATAATGTCAATAATTTGAAAAACATAGAATCAAAGCTTAACAAATTTGAATCCAAAGTACCTTCGAATACTTTCATTTGATTTAATGTAAACCTGCTCTTCTTTAAAAACTTTTCTCATGCAAGACCTAGTAAAAAATACCAAAGTAAATACTAGTTTATACTAGTGTAAATTAAATTCTAATTAAGAACCCTCTATACACTGCACACTAAAGAGTTCTAATTTTGTGGTATTTTTATGCAGATAGAGTGATCTGCCCTTTGATCAAGAATAAATTAAATTGAAATGTACAGTTTATTACTTAATTTGCGATCAAATCAAGCATTCATAACACTTTAATAGGCCAAGATGAATAGATAGAACACTTCATGTGCAGGTATGTTGCCCACTTAAGTAAACAACAGTGATTTATGCTCATCAGTACTTCATTGTCTTTGAACATTTTTCCTGGGGGTAAATCCATGGCACCATATGCTGAAAATGTGATAGATAAGCTCAATGCTTACACCTTTACACACTATAATTTTCTCAATGTCCAAAAAATATTTTCCTTCAGTATATTGAGGGTCCTTAAAAACGAAAGTCAAATGTCACCCTGCATGTGCAGCTGAGAACGTTTCATTAAAATCCAGCATGGTGTGTACCACAGCCCTGAATTACTACGTTGGTCCTTACAGAGGGTTGATGTAAATATGACCATCTACTCCCCTTTTGTTTTTATGATTTTTTAATTTTTTTTTTATATAAATTCCCATTTGATAGTGATCCCATATTGTGGCCCTCCCTACTCCACAATGTCCTTTGATGTAACAAATTTCAATTTGCACTACCTACGGATGTTTTCATTTAAATTATTTAAATTTCACAATTTCTTGGCCTATTGTCGACTGTAATATGTCATCCAAAAGAAAAAAAAAATTACTCGTTTTTACTTTGAACTCGACTAATTTTTACCAATTTTGAGTACTTCTTTAATTCCTCACACATCTCAATTCTTTTTTCAAATCCCTTTTCTTGTTTTCGTTTTTCCGCTTCAATCAAATCGTCGATTGTTTCGCCAACTGATCGGGCAATTGGACTTTGTTCGATGCCTTGCAGTTCATGTTGACACTCTGCCATTCTTTGTACTTTTCCATGCAGCCTCATAAGCAGTGCCTTTATGTCCTTGTTAAGATTTTCTAGGTATTCATCATATGTAAGCTCTTTACCCTTTTCTTTTTCGTAATTCCCTTTCATCTGTTGGTATGATTTTGTGATCTCTTCCTTTATGTACTCATAAATGTATGGAGTGTTTTTATGGATAGACCATATGCAATGATTTGTGCATACCGTGCAGTACCCAACTTCATCCATAGCACTACAATTTTTCTTTCCGTCGTCATCCGGAATGCCACAATTTTTATGACAGGTGTAAAAACAATGCATACAATTTGTTACATGTACGCCTGGCTCAAGATCTTTTCTTATTTGTCGGATTTCTTCTATTGTAAAGGATATGTCGCCATTTGACACGATCTCCTCTTTTCGAGTAGTGAATATTACTATTTGAATCTTTATTTCTCCCATTTCTGATAGATCTTTGGTTATCTCTGGCTGAAGAGTAGCTATATCATTTTTTAGCTCCTCTCGTTTTTCGGGTGTTGGCATATCTTTCTTTCTGCGGATATCCACAGCAGACGACTGTCTTACAAAGTCAAGAAATGATTCCAGGTGATATGAATTCATTTGCCAGAAAAGTGGGGAAAAGCGATGTTTGCTTTTAAAAAGAGAAGACCAATTAACGTGAAAGGACTTAACTGGTGTAATTTCACTCCCTTGAAGTATTTCTTCAATATGAGCTTCACCTGCATCTGCAAAAGTATAGAAAAGACAGAAATGTTCCAACAAATGATCCTCAAAGGAATATAAGATGGACTTAAAATATCTAATTTGGTCTTCAGACATGTCAAAATCGCTCCCTTTTGTGACCAAACAAAGCAAGTTAATTTCTTTGCAAACCGAATTCATAACAAAATGTATTTGCTTATATAATTGTTTTTCGTCTCCATTCCTTGAGGAACAAAATCTCGGAATATCAATTATTGTAATTGGAAAAGTTATTCTCCCTCCTTCAAATTCGTCAAATTGGTATATCTTGATCCAATCATGATTTGCCTAAAATGAGATTTTGATACATGTAATATTTGAACTGTACGAAAGAATGAGGATTGTTACCTGTGTATATAAAAAGAAATTTTGAAGATTATTCATATTATTAGAAACTTTATTTTCTAATGAGTATTCATTGATATAAATTTAAAGACTGATATTTACAATATTTTTACCTCATCAGGATCATCCTTTGCCAAACAAAGTCGAAAGGGATCATCAAAGTTTACCCCAAAGATATAATTCATGAACCCTTCAACAAGGGTTGTTTTTCCTGAATGCGGGGTACTCATTAGCAGAATACATTTCCGATCTGCATTTCGTGCACTTACATCCTCTTTCCCTATCAAGGTGATGAAAAATATCTTACTTAAATATACTCAGTAAATCAGATTATTTTTTTTAAAAATTAAAAAGAATCATTTGCAGCCTAATATGTGCTTGAACAATTGTCTCTGTTTTAAGGTCTCATTCAAAAGCTTTTACTTTCTCTTCAAGTTGTCCAGCAATTGCAAAGGAACATTTTTTTTATCAACTTACGTTTGTGAAGCAATAACTTTCCAATTACGGATGAAGACGAGCTCTGAGGTACCATGCGATTTGATAGTTATGCAAGCATGCATAAAATGTGATATGTTATAATATGCAATTAAATAATTATTATTTATGAAGTCAACATGGTGATATTACATGTAGGACGGATGTAGGGGGTAATTAATTATTTCATTATATCGGTATAAGAAGACACAATTTTTTAGCCTATTTTCTAAAATTGTATATAATTGTTTATTTTTGATAGGAATCAGGATTCGCTAGTGAAGTAGTTTGCTTTTTTGTCTTCAAGTCTACTAAGTTTTTGCATTACTGATTTACCAAAAGTACTTTGTGACTATCATTAACATGCATTGATATAGTTTAACAATTACTGATCCGAATACAGTGAAAACCTGGCGCAGATTTTTACTGTATAAATAAGAGCTTAGTCTGCATTTCTTATGTTTGACATTGTAACAAAATTTTTTATGATGAATTTTATGACGTTTAGATCTATTGTAATCTGTATCACAAACAGACAATGCATATTTTATAACGGCATGATTTTTAACGTGTAATCATAATATTATGCATTATTTAATTTGAAAGGAATTTTAATTAACAGTTATTATGAAGCAGTCAATATTTATAATGACCGGGTTTCATATGCATTGATTCATAAGACATTATTGTTGTAAGCAGTTCCTTTTGGATTCTTTATTGCGTTTTAAAGCCTTTTAACAAACGAACCAAGTTTGAGTATTTACAAAAGAGTTATAATATAATATAATATAATATAATATAATATAATATAATATAATATAATATAATATAATATAATATAATATAATATAAAAAATTAAAATGATCCTCTATATAGATGATAATCAATTTTTGTACTTGGAAATGCCTCGCACTTGCAAAAATATACATGAATATTCTCTCAGTGGTGAAACAAATTAGATATCCAAATATTTAAAAAAAAATAATAATTTTCTGTTTTACGTATTTCTGGTCTTTTCCTTTTGTCTCGTCACTCATTACATGTAACTGTCTTTTCGTAACATAGTGACTTAGGTTGGAACGTCATAGCTGAGCGGTTGTGCGACGTCATGGCTAAGCGATTGTACATATAAGATTGGAAAAAAGAAATAAAATATCATTTTTAGAGTTTCATTGGGATATAACATAAAGTTGGTCACGTCATCAAATCCTATAATGCCCGAAGAGTGTTATAGTAGATCTGATCACGTACTATAACTTCATGTCATATCCCAATGAAACTCTAAAATATGATCTTTTATTTCGTATACTTATATTTTATTTTTATTCATATAACACAGAAAAATATTCACTATTTAGACTTTGTTATGGAAATGCAACATAACGTACAATTCGACGTCATGTGACGTAACAGTCTAGACTTTCCAAAGTCTCGTGCGGTTTACTTTCCATACCAACGAAAGTCTGATAACGTGACCAACTTCATATCATTGAAAATTGAATGTCAATTTAATTCGTATGTCATATAAGGAAAGACATTTGCAAATGTAAATAAATCAATTTGGAGTAATTTTTACCGTTGTACTCGTTGCCTGGATGGTTTGTATAAACTTTTCTATTTGAAAGGAATATTTGCTTTTATACTCATAGCGGAGAGGAGATTTTTGTCAAAAATTTATTTTCACTGGGAAAATAACATTTCTCTGTTAAAATCGTTCTTGTTATTATAACTGTGAAAGATTTTCAAGGTGAAAATTACTCTTGTCATTTTCAGGCTGAAAATCAGACGCCTGTGATAGTATCAAACTGTAAATAAATAAATATATTATTTTACGGTTGAAAATATAATAGAATATCAGATATTATATTATCATGAGATGAGATACGTATGATGGAAAAAATTATAATTAAGGTGCACATACAATTTCAAAGCACACATAATGTAGTCTATTAGTCAGGTTCTGAAAATCAGAAACTGAGTGAGTGAGTAACTGATAATGCTCTAAACCATGTCACTGAATTCACATCGCAAATTGTTTCTCCATTATAACCAAGCAATCTTCTTTAGGCTTTATCATTATTGTTCATCATATCTTTTCTAAAATTACAGATTTACACAATATTTCAAAACCAATTTTAATAAAAATCATGAATCATGCATTTTTAAGTTGAAAAATAACAAATATGCTTCAGGATCTAAGATCGAGGTTTTTACGAATCTAATTTATTAAAAGGATTTTGACACTTATAAAGTATTTTTGTTCTGCTACTAGCTTAATCCTTATATAATAGTATTGGTAAACATTATATGATATCGTTACAAGCTGTCACAGATTACATACAATTTAATATCATTCTAATTAACAGTTCTATATGTGGAGAGCTCACATATATTTAATTTCTTTACGAAAATGTAATTTTGGTTCTTAAATAGTTTAGGAGAAGACATATAAAATACATGGTTACTGTCTTGAAATATAAGCGATATTTGGGCGAGGGTAAGAAAACGTGATAGAGGGCGAGGCTTGCCGAGCCCTCTATCACGTTTTCGACCCGAGCCCAAATATCGCTTATATTTCAAGACAGTCTCCATGTATTTTGTTTATCCTGCAACACATTTTACAGGACCTCCAAAACGAGCTGTTTTCAACCGATTTAGGTACATCTCTGCAGTTGAAACTAAGACGCTATGGCGTAAACATTGCAATATTCATGACGTCACAGTGCTTTTAGAACGTTGGAATACGTGCACGAGGCTTTATTAGGGCATTGACCGAATAAATCTTTGGTTTATTAGGTTACCTTTATTAGGTCAATACAAGGGGTAGTTGCAGGATAAATTTATTTACCAGGGTTTCAAACTAAATCAAATCATATCAGGAAAGCCATAAAATGAAAATTCTTGAATTTTGATTTTAAGCTATATTTTCAGACATTCGAATAAAAATATTGTAACTATCAAATGTTATTATTCCTGGCAAATTGACACATTTGCACATGACCGTTTTGCTTACAATTTTAAATTTCTATTTTTATTCGAAAATAATTTCAGATCAATGAATTTAGCTGTTACATGAAAATCCTTAAAATTCAATGAGGAAATTCTGTAACATCACGTCAAAAAATCTGTGTTTGTAAACAGAGCTCCGTTATTGTTAATGTTTGCGTTTAACCGGATGAGTTCAACTTGTTCACTCTGCACACATCACTGAGCACGGACTGACAATACAAGTGAGTCGGATCTGCTGTCTCACTTTTCTACTCTGTTTTTTTTTTTTTTTTTTTTTTTTTTTTTTTTTTTTTGATTATAGTTTTTATATCGTTCATAAACACACATCAAATATTCCTCTTTTTTTAAATATTAAGGATTAAATTTACTTGCAAGGATGTGTGTTTTGATAATTTCCAGATAAAAGAGGTTTTTCAACACTCTTCTCATAATATTACATATGAAATGTTTTACCAACATATAAGGCATGGTATAATACTGAAAGTATTAGAAAATATTAACCCCAAGTCTGTATCCAAGCCCCTTTAAATAACTGTTATTTACATTGCACGTACACTGTATTGGATATAACAAGATGTTTCTGCGAAATGATTCTAAAAACCCATTACATTTTGAAAACTTTATATTATTTCCCCCTTGCAGTGATTGTATTTACTCTTTTAAGATAGAATCAGTTAACAAATATCATCTTGTTAATCGACAAATTCCAGATCATATTTCACAGTACTTTTAAAAGGTATTTTTAGAAGTGGTATTTAATACTTATACTCTACATCTCATTGGATCAATTAGACTTTTGATCATGATTATTATTTGTTTTGTTTATTTTTCAAATTTCAATTATTCAGATGATTTAGAGTAAAAATGTCAGTTACTGACTTCTTAAAATACTATACCTATTTTTATTGACTGTATCTTCATTTCTTCGTAATTTTCAAATTTTCTGGGTACAGCATATTTTGAGATGGAATTTGTAGATGATCCATTGACTAGCGTGGATTCCAGTTTTATTTTAAACGCTAAACTTTTAGTGATGATTTCATCGCTTTCCTCCCCTGGAGGACCAACTTCTGTTCCAGAGCATGCGCTGACTTTTACTTTATATTTTGTATTTGGCGAAAGGTTGTCTAGAGTGATTGTTTGCGATTTGTCTGAAGTTCTAAGAGAGTCCCATTTTTCTGGTGCATGAAGCTCTCTGTAATATACTATGTAATACTCTGGATCTGCAAATAAAGGCTTTTTCCACGAAATTTCCAAAGAATTATGAGTTACTTCCGAAAACAATGGTTTACCCTTTACCTGAAATAACAAAACATGATGCATATTAAAATAGTTTTTTACACATTAAAAATACGTAAAGAAATTTCAATATCCAAAATTTTAAATTGCAAAGATTATGAAGCTCTCTTACCTTCAATTTGGAAAATGATTTATCCCAGTAGATTAACCAGCACGCTAATATGACAGCAATAATAACGACCCAAGTTGGGATAGAAAATGTAAAACATGATTGAAATATACCTTCCAAAATAATTTCCAACATGATTTAAGTAAAATGTTCTCTGGCTACCTTTGGATCAATTCTTAGTTTGGGAATATCGATAACACTTAGCTTTTTTTAAATTATACAATTCTGAAATAAGGTATTGCAATGCACAACTAAGTAAAATAGTCTTCCAATGTGCAGGCTGTCTAAAAATTGTTTATCTTGACATTTGATATGTTGATCTTTTGTTGTTTATATTACGTAATGATCATTCAGGAGAGAGAAGGAGAGATATATTTTAAGGACATACGCAACGTAGTTTGAACTTTATTGTATTTTTCCCTGGAGTTGAAGAGTTCCAATACTTAAAGGAACTGTATCCTACATTTGAATGTCAATATATGCTATTGTACACTTCTTCTGAAACAAGTGCGGATAAGCAAAACATCTAGAATATATGTTTAGTAATTTTTGTATATTTTTATTTGAATTATGCAAGAATTTTCGTCAATTAATATCCTAAAACCCCTGGTAATACATGCTGATTTTTCGTTTATGAACACATGATGGAACTATAATCTTAAATTAAGAATATCTCAAAAAATTATCAGTAGGTAAGGTACATGTACGTTGCGTATGTCCTTAAGTCATAGACTATTCAAACTCCCGACTAAAAAGCTCTTTAAAAAGGCATTTAAACATGGTAACGATAAAATGTTCTCTTCTTACACCTGGATCATTTCATAGCTGAAGAAAAAAAAATACTACCCTATTAAAAAATACACAACTCTTTAAAATGCATGAAATAAAAATTTATGCAATAAATTGGTTATTTTAAAAAATAATTATGTTCAATTTGATGTCCTTTGATCTATCTAATGTTCTGATCATTCCAGAGAGAGAGAGAGAGAGAGAGAGAGAGAGAGAGAGAGAAATATCCTAATCATAAGGTATTTAAATCCCCTACTGAGAACCCCATATAGAAAAGTCTTCATTGCTTGAAAATTACAATAGCACAGTTTAAGACAAGCAGGTTCTATAATGAACTCCAGATGACATTACCTTAAAAACATATCTGTGTCATAAGCCAAGAGCTCTAAGGACTGCGGCTTAGTTCATTATCTTTTCTAAATGGTTATAATTGTTCTTTATCTTTGCATAAATATTAAAGTCATTGTGTGCAATATTTCTCCAATTAATTTAGGACAGATGTATTATTTTTCTATACTTAATAGACGCTCATGGTATTTAGAAATAAGACATTTCCACATGGCATTTATAGAGTGTATTTACACTATGTAATAGGTTTGTTCTGATTTCTTTTTCACGATATGCGGTACATTAGTTGCTCTTGTGGGAAAGAATTCAAACTTAAGCTTGGTGTTGACACTGGGTTCAAAAGTGTTCATCTCCCCCCCCCCCCCTCTCTCTCTCTCTCTGTATAATTTTTTTGTTTATATATAAGTATGACAGCATATTACTAATATATCAATTACTGATTTTCAAATTTGTAATAAATAAATTTAAGTTTTCTTAAAATTTTTTATTGTAATCAATAAGTGTCCTCCTTGAATGTTTAAGTCTGAAATATGTATAGTGATGTATTATAATGGTCATTTTGTTTCCTGTCTTAGGAGAGGCAGAGATTGACCAATGAAAATCAAACAATTAAAATTCTGGCCACGCGGTGCGTCACTCTGCCTCTTCTCCCACCTACAGCCTTGGAGGACGGACGTTTTTTCAAGTTTGTTATTTATTTTATCAAGTATTTGGTGAGTAAAATTATTTTATCATGTCTTCAATGGGCAAAACTTCGGTTGTCATTCTTGGTCATTCAATTGTGCGTCGTTTTCACGAATTCTTGAAACATGGTGATGGCATTAGATATTCTGCAAATCTTGGACTGGAAAAAACGCATTCCGTTTTGTACAGGGGTGTGGGTGGAAGGAAGGTTCGTGATATAATATCTAAGGATATGGAGAGTGTATTTGCTTTAGGTCCCGAGGTAGTTGTTCTAATGATCGGGGAGAACGACATGGTTCCCAGTACAGATCCTACATTGTTGGCCGCAGAAATTGAAACTATGGTATCGGTGATGCATCGCCGCTATAATGTTGCGAAAATAATTGTTTGCAAATTATTGCCAAGATTTAAGGTTAATTTCGAGTACAATGATGTAGCAGACAAAGTGAATGAAATATTGAGAGATGCATTGCCATCACTAGGTTACTGTGTATTTTGGGAACACGGGAATTATTTTGTTTCTCCCAGGGACGGAGACTGTAGTCGGAAAGAATGAATCTTCATAACACTGCTTTCTCGCCCCTTTTTAAATGCAGGATTTTACCTTTTCAAATCTGAAAATTGTTATATTATAGCTAAAGTCTTCAAGCATAATCTGTTTAGATACTCATAAAAGATTTTTTGGGAAAGAGACTTTCAATATATACATTATATCGATTAAATAAAATCGTCTACTCCACTGTAAAATCCCGGTTTCGCCATTACAGCTATGTAGGTCATTGTATTATTTGAATGAGAAGGCGGAACGTCTATCAAGCATGCGATTAGTATGAATACATTAGCGTGTGTTCGAGGTGTACTAAGTTTTATGATTAACTGACACCTAAAACCCTCTTTTTTTCGTGCTAGAGACCGACAAAATATAAGCATACATTTTTAATTTGGCAGGCTTTGATTTTTTTTTTTCTGCTTAACTTACGAGTTGTATCTGTAGTAAGATAAATAATAAATCACTCCAAGGTATTTTTAACGCCCTTTTCCATTATACTGATTTTTTTAAACTAATATCTAAATCTTTAATTATAAGTTGATCGGACATATGAAAGGATCATACAAGTGCATTTTCTTGCTTTTAAACATTATGCTTTAAAAATACCTGCGAACATGGACTTTTTTACACGATCTGCAAAAAAAAAGTTTGTGAGATTTTGTATTGTCGATGTAAAAAGTTATACCATTTGCAGTGTCGTCAGAAGAAATCCGTAGCTTCCTTCTATCTAAATTAAGGGTGCATTTTGTGCAAATGATTTCATCCAGTGAGTTTTCATTCGATACACAGGTCTTTTTAGCGCTCCGTACTTCAATTTTTCTTCAATTAGAAGTATGCATTTGTGCACTCGTAACAAACATTTTATTTTTCTAAGGCTATGATGAATTGGTGTTTTTCAAATCTATAAAATTAATGACAGTTTTAACTGAAAAAAAAAATCTTTTATATCTTCCACGAGTCAATGAACGTAGCACTGATGTATATTTAGGAACAAAGGCAAATGTATAATATATCCTACAGTAATTTAAATTTCCAAATTCTGTATTTATGAGACACAAGCAGTAAGTACAAGCTATATGCTACAGGCCTTCAAAATAAATTGATAGATACCGAAAAATAAACTAAACAAAATCGACTGAAATAGCGTTTAATAACAAGTAAATCAAAAATCTTAACACATCTTAATCATGAAAAAAGTTTTCACCCAGAGTTTTAATTAGCCATTTGAAAATGATTTGACCATCGATAGTTCGCAGACACTAGACATGATCATGACGATGTCGCATAGTTGTGCTCAAAGCGTGAAAGTGAATAGGTTTGAGTCACGTGTTCAGTGCTTTGTTATTCATGAGGTCAAAGGCGGGTTGAAATTTGTAAACAAGGTGCCTTTACTATGGAGACAAGCACCCGTGATTTTGCACCTTATTGGAAAATAACAAATGAGCGCAAGACTGTTTCAATTTCTTTTATGAATGTAAATGACTAGTATAATTCTTTACATTGACCGTATTTACGACAACTTGAAACATCCATGCGCTCATATAAAAAAGGGGCTTACAAAATGGGGGTGTGGCCTAAAGTCTATGAGAAATCGATGTAAACAACGTACCCCTGCTATATTAATCAGATAAATACCTAATTATCGTGCAAGGAAGTAAAAACTGAAATTGGAATTAATAAGCTACAATGTTTGATGGAAACATTGAGGCAAAAATATGTAGAAAATCTTTAAATTAATTTTTTGTAAATAATCGGGGGGCCAGATTTGGACGTTTAAACGATTCATCCTTTGTATGCGACGGAGTTCATCTGAACAAACAAGGGAAGTACAGTTATATAGGAGTATAAGGGGAGCGTTAATTTCAGTGAGAAAATATATTTTCGAGAAAATGTAACAAGATTGTCACTTCTATCCTTTCTTCAAAATCATTTGGATATGGTACATGTAACAAAATTAAATTTGGCAGTTTTTATAAATTAATTATTTAATTACAGTGTATTATAAAAAAAAAAAAAAAAAAAAAAAAAAAAAAAAAAGAAAGAAAGAAAGAAAAGAAAAGAAAAAAAAATTAAATCTGCTTATCAGATATTGGCTTGCCAATCATTGACTTTTTTCACTTTAATTTCAACCTTTACGTTGAAATTCATTATTAAAAATTTTGTGACTTTTACAGTACTATAGGCATGACCTAGGTATGTGTTTCAGGCATTCAATGTGCTTGCCAGTTTAAACCCGTTTGGGGTTTTTCATTTTAGTTTCAACTTTTACCCTGGCGATTTTTCCATCGATTTTATTTGATTTATCTAGAAATGTATTTTAATTAATGCGTTCCGGATTTATCCTTTTTTCTGTGAAGGAAAATCGTTGGAGAAATGTCTGCCAATTTGTTTGTTACGGTATTAGTTGATTACTAAAATTGTTTAATTTTACGGTACTCTAGGCAAGGCCTAAGTACAAGTCTCGGGCAGTCATTGTACTTACCAGTCTTACCCGGTTTTCTTTTTAGTTCCTTAATTATCCTTTTTTTCTGTTAAGAAATCGTTCGGAAAATGAATGTTTGCCAATTTATTTGTTGCGGTATATTTGTTGTTTACTTAAATTCCGTTCTGTACTCGCTGTCCCTTTTTGACATTCATGTATCATGCACACGTTTTGTTTCATCAATGATTCACGGTTTTATTGGTATGCATCAGCACTTTGATTTATCGTAAAATATGCCTATTAAGTTACTCGTTTCGAATTGTGGCTTAATAATTAAAAATA